CCTGTGTGTAAATCATTTTGCTATTTAAGTCTAGTTTATTCATCTAACTTGAATTGTTTATTTAAACAACCACATTAAGTTATGTTGATCTCTCCAACAACAACGAAAAAAAAATAAAATAAAATAAAAAAAGTTAATAGTTGATATGCACCCACACACTTAAACTTTATGCCATAAATTTCACCTTTATTAATAACTACTTTTGTATTGTACCAATATACACAGGAATGTTTTATATAGAATTGTCTTGATTAAACAATTCATAACATTGAAAATAATTAGACTATATTTAGTTTTTTTTTGATTTTGTTTAAACTAAGTAGTAGTATTTTTGTAAGCAATGATAGATGAAGGCTAGCAATGGAAGCCAGGACGTGCGTTTCGTCCTATTGGGGACTCGTCATTCGGATGTACCTGCATCTCAGTGTTGATGTTCACGCTGGGAATCGAACCCAGTACCATTCGCTTCAAACACCATCGCCTTATCCACTTAGCTACTGAGTCCTGATAGTATTATTGTTATTATTACTTTTATTCAATATTATATTTTTGATAGAATATAGAATTTTCAGTATAAAGTATTTTAATAAGCTTTTGTTTGTTTACTTCTTGATTGATCTTAACGATAAGTACTAAATGGTCACTAGTTAGAAGTTAGCAGTCTAGGCATTGACAACTGGATAATCTCCATTCTTTTCAATGCAACCATCATGAAGTTTTTGATTGTACATTTTTGTAAATTGTACTGTGAAATGTCGTAAACATTTTATAAATGCTTTTGAATAGGTTATACCATTAATAAACATAGTGATATGTAATTTAAACAGTTGAGATCATGAGCCAATTGAAGCTAGATCACCATGGAAAACCTGGAAGCGCTGGAAGGCCGTTTCGTCCCATTGTTGGACTCCTCAGCAGTGTGCTTTCACGACCCCGCCTCGCAGGGCTTGAACTCAGGACCTAGTGGTCTCGTGACAGGCGTTTAACCAACTAGACCACTGAGGTGGACGGCATCCAACAGTATTACTGTCTACTGATATGGGAAAATAGATAAAAACGAATGACTTGTTGAAATATTCAAATAGTAAGGACAGGTAGCCAAGATATTCAAACAAGTCACCTTAAAGATTAATAATCCTACTTTATTCCCTTATATCATTTAAATTTGTATGAATTTAAAATGGTTATTCATTTATTTACTTATTCTGAAGAGTTGGATTACACTAAATGACGAAATGTCAGAGATTCAAATTTCAACTCATTATGATATCACAAATAGATTATTATTGTATTGTGTAAACACTATGTAAAATATAATATAATGTAATGTATATTATGTAGTATGTTTGATTAATGGGTTACTTTTACAAGTGTTTTGAAGATTATTTTTTCCTCACTTGCTTTTCTGTTAGTAAATAAATCTGAATATACTTTAGTTATTAAAGTAGAAATCAGTGGTCTATCGAAAAATTAAGTTCTAAAAAATCTTAAAATCTCAGTAATCAACATATAAGACACTTAATTGAACTCATATTTAGAAATTCGTAGTGTAGAAGATAACGTTACTCTTGGATACAATTCCAAGATTCCATATTTAAGGAGTATACACTATATGAACTAAGAAATCAAAACATAGATAATTATCCTTTCCAAGATCTAACTTGACAGTTTAAAACGAGTTTAAAAAACGTGAATTTCAGCGCTAAGACCCACCAACAAAAAGAGGTAAACCCGGGAGCATCCGTAGCCTACAGACAGTAGGTAGTGCGCTACGATCATACTTCTTGAACTAATTGAATAAACCTCAGCTGACACATATAAACCACTCGATAACCACAATGTAAGCAAACCTCTAGGGATTATTTAGCTAGTTACAGGACATCTTATACAAAATCTCCAGGTGGTTATAACATTCCTCCTTCATTTACTAAGCATGCACATGAACGACTTTTACTTTACACACTGTTTTTACATCTGCACCAACAATCAAACATTCTTTCATAACTATACAGCAAATCTCTATGAAGATGGAAATTTCTCTTTCTCATATAATCATTTTATTACTACAAGAATACCTAGTCCTTCATTCACTAAAGCTTGTTCAGGTGATAATCTTAGCAAACAGACAACCTAACTACACTCAAATCCAGTTACCATAAAAATACATAATACTGACGATGATCTTATCGCACCTTTCCAAACTTACTATTGATCAACAGACGCTCAGTTTTAAGGGAAATCTCAAACTTGAGAACCATAGTCTTACCAACCAAACCAACTTCAGTACTTGTCATTGAATAACGGTGCTCTTCTTCACTTTCTGACTCAGAATTATTTATCCAGAACAATGGAGTACATCGATGTAGTAGAGAGGATAAATGAGGGGTGGATACTTATTATACTACCTGGGTTGTCTATTGACTTATATAGTCAAATACAGAGTATTCGGGAATTAAACAAAATACGTATAGATCTCAATTAACATTATGAAGCATAGTTTACTACCAGGTTGTGGACACACAGCTTCATATACTTCCACTACAAGGATACTTTTACTACTAATGTATTTATACATGCTTCTCTTCTAAATTTCTATGGTGAAGTCACTAAATCCGTAAACTCTAACCACTGTAGAATCAGGTGAACTACTAGTTGAGGACAATCATTTGATGAAAAATTCCTAGTCACACTTGAATTGTTGGTCACAGTAAGTACACAACTCCAACGGCATAATAACATGCTCGACCTAGTATTCTGTCGAGATGTTATACCACTTTGCGTGCAAGCTAACAGATATGTTGAATGTATTGTGGATTGAGCTTTTGTCTGTTATCTCTTAATTACTATCAATCTCTCTAATAGCATTCCTTAACAAACACCTATTCAGTATCCGGACTACAAAAATGCTAACTCGAACCACCTGAAAACCTTGTTGAGGTGTTTATGTTGGGGAAACTCCTTCTGGAGCAGCAGTCTTGCATATAAACTAGACATATTCCATCAAATCAATAGCTCGTGCTTAGACTCAATTGCACCTGTGAAAACATAGGACTATTACATATAATGATTTATCCATACCAGTTAAGTATCTCAACCAATTAACTCTATTGCATAAATGTTACTTGAAGTCTTTTATAGACGTCGTATTCCGACTCCGATTGACAATAATTATGATATTAATACTATTAATATCATATAATAATGACACAATAATGATAGTAATCATGAATTGTATCCCTTATTTTATCTAATGTTGAATAACATTCCTAAGCTAATCTCCAGTGATACAGCGGTGATGTTGAAAGACCAAATATGAAATGTATTGAGAATAAAATTCATGCAAATATATTTAGCAACCAGACATAATGAGTAAGTTCATTCATAAACATTCGGATTGACCAGACTAAGTTAATCAAATTTTTAATTGTTGACAAAATGTAATATAAACAAAAATGTTGCTAAACAAATATCCATACAATAAAACCAACAAAGTTACGGTTACACTTGCTTAGGTAACATAACAGTTTATATTAATGTATTGTATCACTTTATGATACAATAATAAATTTGATTAAGTGTTTATATGTTTCAAGTATACATAAGTAACTACAACCAGAATGATTTTGCTCTAGTTTCACAATTAACTATAATTTTTAGCCAAATCCCAAAAACTCAAAGGGTAAAAGCTACTATCGAATAGTTTTCAGCAATTAACAATGTTTCAACTTACAAACTTCTGTACATTGATTCAACAAAAGTCTAACTTGATTATAAAACGCATATATTTCTTGCATTTCACATACTGATTCATTTGAACATGACTCGAAAATTATTGCTTACGTTTGAAATGGTATTCTGTGACCAAAAATAAACCTACAGAAAACATCAGATCAGAAGTAACATAAAGAACTGGGAACCCTACCCAATCTATTTCTTTCCCTTATCCTAAATTTACAAAGTCATAACCTCCCTTAGAGCTTCAAAGAGTCATGGGGTAGACGGCAACTTTTCCTTCAGGTAACAAGTGATGTAATGCAGAATGGTGCCTTGGGTCCGCTTCTGCTTAGAGATTACAAAAGCGATATCTACAATAGCGTCAGCATGGGTAAATGTTTTCTATATCCAAATGATACTCAAATAGTTTATTCATTTGATCTTTATGGGCTTTGTCATATTTAAAATATTTTCAGTATAGAGCTCAAAATAGTCGCTGTGTACTTCTAAAATTGATCTTTCGGTTTGAGCATTACTGCGTGTGGATAGATTTCCTTTGGTGACCATTTGCTCAATTTCGAATTCATAATAAACGACATGGTATTATTTTCATTTAGTATGGTAGTATATTTATGACTGAGGTATTCCCATAGTCTGTGCTTTCCGAAACAAGTTTCAACTTCTTCTAAGTTATTTACCACATGGATATATAACAATGACTCATGTCATTGAATTAATATTTTTCTCTACTTAGAATTGGTTCTAACGGTGAAGACAATTCTAAATGAGCTCTTCAAATGATGTTGACGGTCGAAGTGCTTTCATCGAAAACAAGACATTGTTACATAATATTTAGAATGTATTCATCAATGAGATCTTTATTCAGGAATTAAAGCTCAAACTAAATTAAGGTCATAAATTTATCAATGCTAAAAATGAGTACTCATTTCTACAAATCATTTAAAATACAGGAATAATTAACGTTGGAGGGGATTGCTAACTTCACGAACAACCCCTACTGTTTATCTGTGCTCAGAATGGGCAGTAACCATAGAAGAGCTTCAGATGAACAGAAACATGACGTTCTAAAATCGATTAGTTATACAGTGGTCTCATTAACACTAGTAAAAATTTGGCTTACTAGATAGTGAGTTGGATACATTCGACTCATAGAAACTACAGACAATGAATATTTGTTGTCAATTATAATTTACAATAATATGAAAATGAACTCTTTTTTAAAAAAAGTAAATATGTTTATTATCTCCATCACAACAACATAATTTTCAGTGTAATATACGTTGAAGTATTTCATGAATTGGTAAGTGTTTTATCTCTTCTAATTGTCTTGTATACCATTCATCCTCTTCATTGTTTGTTCTATTATGAATATTATTATCGATATTTTCATGGGACAATTTTCTTGTTTCGTTTTTATTATTAGAAAATGATTTTGTTTGTGATTGTCTTCTTTCAATCACTGAACTCATTTCTTCTAAAATGTACAAATAAAAACGTTAAGTGTTTATAAAAACGGGAAGTAATCGTTCTTCAACATTCAGACATTATAATCAGCCTGTTTTTCATAATCTATCTGCTTTTAATTATCAATGACAATTATCATCTTTTCATCTCTTGATAATACTGATAACAATTATAGTAATGATGTTGATAATAATGTTGAAAAATCAATCTATACGTAACATTCGTTTATCTGTCTGGTCACATTATTATTACTAGTATACTTACTTACGTATGCTTGTTAACCCCAATGGAGCATAGGCCACCAACCACCACACTCCAAACCACTCTGTCCTGGAACTTCCTTTTCAGTTATATCCAATTGTTGTTCATTTTTCTCATATCTGTCTCCATTTCTCGACGCAATGTGTTCTTTGTTATTCCTCTTCTCCTTTGGTCTTGAGGATTTCATGTATGGATTTGCCTTGGGACGCAGTTGGGCGATTTCCTCAGTGTGTGTCCTATCCACTTCCAGCACTTCTTCCTGATTTCTTTCTTCGCTGGAGTCTGGTTTGTTCTCTTCCACAGTAGGTTGTTGTTGATAGTGTCTGGTCAACGGATCCGAAGTATTTTGCATAGACAACTGTTTATATTCACTTGTATCTTTTGGATGATGGTTTTCGTAGATCTTCAAGTTTCCATCCCATACAGTAGAACTGTCTTGACATTTGTATTGAAAATGCTGACCTTGGTGTTGGCTGATAAACAGCTGTCTTGAGTTCCAGATGTTCTTCAGTTGTAGATATGCTGCTTTTGCTTTGCCGATCCGCACCTTCACATCTGCATCAGATCCACCCTGTTCATCAATAATGCTGCCCAGATATGTAAAGGTTTTTAGATCTTCCAAATCTTCACTGACAGTTGTGATTGGATTGGTTCATGCTGTGTTGTACTGGAGAATCTTGCTTTTCCCTTTATGTACGTTGAGACCTACTGCTTCTGGGGCTGCTGCTACACTAGTCTTCTTCTCCTGCATTTGTTATTGCGTGTGAGATAGAAATACCAGATCATCTACGAAGTCTAGATCGTCCAGTTACATTGTTAGTAGTATGTTTTAGTTAATCACCTCTTACGTTAAAATGTGACCGTAATTCATTTATTTTAAAAAGTAATCACTAATTATCTGCTGACATTCATTTTCACCTCTTCTAAATTTTTTTCTTCTTAGATTCTAAGTATTTATGACATAGCTGACCCTTATCAATCTTACCAAAAGTTTATGTTACTACTGATAACAGAGATTATATTATTATTTTTTTATTGTAATATAATTAACCTTCTGTATGTTGATTAAATAATAAACTTTTTTTCAGGAATTGAAAAATTTTTTTGGTAATTTATATTTGAAAGTAAAACAAAATCATAATCTTGTTTGTCATCAGATTATATTTACTTGACCGAAATCAATATCTTAATAGGTTATTTGATGGTGGTTGGAGGTAGTCAACAGGAAACCCTGAATCCGGGTTTCGTGCTACTTGGCACTTGTCAGCAAGGTGTACCTGTAATCTTGAGGGAACTGGTGCTCCCTATCGGATTCTATCCCGTGTCATCCAACTTCACAGTCAGAGACGTTACCATTGAGTTATCTGGGCCGCGACAGACCTCCTGTAGGACTGAGATGTAATCACAATTGATTGATCACTGTGTGGTGATCAATGTCATGTGTGTCAAGTCCTTATTTAGTGCAGATCGAATGCTATCGACCATGTTGCAATGTGGCCACCAGTCTAGGTGACTCGAATCCGTAAGGGAGCAGCAGTTACCTCAAGAAAACAGGTACAGCTTGTTGACAAGTGCCAAGTAGCACGAAACCCGGGTCCAGGGTTTCCTGTCAACTACCTCCAACCACCATTTAATCTCAACATAGTACACGCAGTGTCGAGTCACCTAGACTGGTGGCCACATTGCAACTTGGTCGATAGCATTCCATCTGCAAACCTGGCCTACATGAGACTGATCACCACCCAGTGATCAATCAATTGTGAAACAGGTTATTTGACATATGGTTTTGAAAGTAGTCAAGAATTCAATTCACATATATGCTAGTATACATACTTGAACGAAGTGGTATTTCAAAATAAAAAGAATCCAATAAGTAATAGGAGTAGTACACAATCCAATCTTCAGTATGTACCCACAAAATAAACAAAAGCGAATATTTGTAGTTACATATTTATAAACATTTTGCTATTGAAAATAATGATTTTTGCAACAATATTAACAACAGCTAGCTAATTAATGAAAGTGAAAGGTTTTTGATTACGTTTTAGTTTACCAAATCAATTAAATCAGTTCAGTAACCACACTTCCAAGTCTTATAAGTAATGGAATACCAATAGATAAGTCAACTGAAAATTAATATTCTATAATTTTAATTTCAGTTAACCTGTGATGTATGATTCGATAATGGTTAACAGATCACAATAACAATCTCTAAACTAAACACATTTAAAACATGTAGTCCCTTTGATAAATTTCGATAATGATATTAGAAGAAGAAGATTATCAGAACTATGTGATCTATTAGCGCAATACATTTCGAACAATCTGGTCACACATATACTTGTTAAGAGAATTTATATATAAAAATAAAAGGTCAACTAGACAGGAAACGGGGTAAGAGGAGATAAGGATAATGATAAGAGTAATAATAATAATAATGTGAACACAAAGCGAAACCTAATCACTCTGGATAATAAGTCAATATTACCAGAGTAGGTTTAAGGTAAGAACAAACTGTTTTTGAACACATAAAGGGGGTTTGAATTTTCGTATGGCTAAGGCTTCAATGAACCTTAGTATACGCCCTTTTACACTTTTATACAGCACTACAAAAGCTGAATTTAGATCGATCTTGTGACCTGTTTCAATTATATGTTTAGCAATAGAGGATGATGGATGTTTATCCTCTGCTCTTATTGGGTCACTTGATTGTATTTGTTTCTGAAGCCATTTGGGTATATGTTCACTCACCCTAATGTTGAGATCACGATTACTCCTCCCTATGTATGTGTGACCACACACACATTTAAATTGGTAAACACAGTGGGATGTGACGCAATCGTTTCCATGTACTTTAGATTTTGAATGAAGCATGCACCTTGTTCTTTCTTTGATGATGACCTTTGCTGCGCAATAGGTTTTATTGATGACTGATTTAAGTCGTTGTTTCAGTAAAAGGCTATTTGAATCACCTCTAAATGGTAAGGTGATGTAGACAGGCTTTTTCTCTACCGAGGCTACAATAGGTCTCGCTGTACCATGGACTTTCCATCTATTTATGAATTGCAGAGGATAGCCATTTTCTATTAACCTTTTGATATCTTGGTAACTAATCAATTTTTAACAAAAAAAAAACATTTCTCATTTAAAACCCATAAAAGTATACAACCAAAGATTAATAAAAAGTAAAACTTACCAGCTTTTATTAAATCATCCATTGATGTTCCAATGGAATTCTTTTCAATAAAATCTCGTTCACTATTCTGTATTGTATCTTGATTAATAAAACTTGAACAATTTTGTTTCAATATAGATTTGGAAATATTTTCAAATTTATTTAATTTAATTTCTAACATGGATAATTTCTCCTCATCATTAATTTGTCGTGTTAAATGTAATTTTAATTGTTTATTTAATTTTTCAATAATATAACGAATTGATTGTAATTCCATTCTCAATAAATCTATTACATTTTCATTATTAGATTGATTCAATTTACTTGAAGTGTTTATTATACAATTTTGTTTTGAATTAATCTCTATGAATTTATCAAGTGTGTTATTAATGAAAATACGTACAATTTCTTTAATATCACTCTCTGGATTATCTGGAAAGTCATTTTCATTATTATTATTATTATTATTATTATTATTATTATTATTATTATTATTATTATTATTATTATTACTATCCATATTGTCCTTTCCGACTATTTCCATTTGTGAAACGTCTTCTTTATCCGTCTCTTCTGACATATTTTCTTGAAATTGTATCGTTTATTCTTTGAAAAATATTGAACCTAATGAATTGTGTCAATTGTTGTTTTACATTTTAAAACGTATTTATACATAAATAGGTAACAATATTTAAATGATGATTTCTATATAGAGTCTATCATTTTACTATAGATTTCATTAAATAGCATTGTTTCAATGATTTAAACGAATTAAACTTATATTCTTTATTATTTCTAAGATAAAAATATAAAATCTGATATTATAAAACAATAAGACTTAATCTTACATATAACATGCAATGAGAAGAAACAATAGAGCATTCATTGTGAAAACATTCTATATCATATGATCAATAGAAATAGTAATCAGAAATGTTTCATAACTAAAAACTTAACAATCTCCACAACCCCCATACTGATAATTAACATGTGCTCACTAGTGACTAGCTTCGTGAGGAAATTCTCGGAGTTCTAGTGAGAAGTCGTGACCAGTGGAGCTAATTCGTGTCGGGTAGAGACAGGTATCTACCTCAGTACAATGAAAGTTGATCGCGCAATTTCGTGGATTGGTTAATGTTAGACACTAACACCATTGGATGCCGGCTCAGTGGTCTAATGGTTAAGTGCTCAGGCGCGAAGCCAGTAGGTCCTGGGTTCGAATCCCGCACGCGGGATCGTGGATGCGCACTGCTGAGGAGTTCCACACTAGGACGAAACGGCCGTCCAGTGATTCCAGGTTTCCAACGGTGGTCTAACATTTGATTCATGATCTCAACCAAAAACTTAACAATCTCCACAACCCCCATACTGACTATTGAATTATGTTGTTCATTTACTTTCAATGTTGGATAAAAAAAAATTTTTTTAATATGGGACGAAATGGCCGTCCATTGCTTTCAAGTTTTCCATGGTGATCTAGCTTCAATTGATTCATGATCTCAACTATAATATCTACGAAAACCCTTTTGAAAATAGAAAACATTTTGTGTTTTAAAAATGATTTATGGTGACATATTCCAAAAAGAAAATTATTTCTTCTGTTAGATAGAAAAAACATACTTAATATGAGTGTTATGAGAAGCTCTTTGTAAACGTGTAATCTTCCACAAACATAAATAATGATGATGAGCTTAAAGTTAGATATTACAAGTGAATGACATTTGTTTAAGTCCTTGATTATTGCAGTAGTAGGCCTCAACATATAAAAATGAAAAAGCAAGATCCTCAAATACAATACGAAGAACACCAAACAATCATACTTCGACATTTATCACCGAATTTATCTTATTCTAATTTGAGTGTCTTGAAAATGCAGACTACTTGGTTGGGGTTCGCATAACTATCGTAATCAATGGTTGGAGACCCTTGGTGACATGGCTCACGATCGATCACAACGACGTCGGTGTATACACTCTCTGTCTTCACTTAAACTAAGAGACTAAAATCGCTTCATATCTTTCCTTCTACGAACTAGTTCTTTCTTCCTGTACTATGTCCTTATATGCAATCTTTCTTTTATATACTACCACCTCGGAATTAACTACTTTTATGAATCCGGTGTTCATCTTGTTGTGTTAATTAGGTATGGCAACTTGGACCGATGCATATATGTGCCCTGGTCCTACGTTGAAGCTGACTGACTAACTGAATCTACAAAGAATGACCTCCAATTTAAAAGTTCTCATCAACCTCCAGCACTCTGATAATGTCTAATTTAGTGAAAAATTAGGTAAAATTCATGTTCTATTAAATAAATTGTGACAGTTGAAGACTAATTTTTCAATCTCAGAAATTTTGTTTGAGAAGCATCTACATGAACATCTAATTTGACCATATAAAGTTAAGTTTTTGAGTGTAGAATCTACTTTACTACCTAAATAAATGGCTGCTCTGGTTGTCAGAAGAGGCATCGGCCTCGTGACTTCTACGGGATGATGTTGTTAACCCCATGCCCAATCCTCCTCCTTGGGACCGGCAATAGCCTCCGGAGGGACTCCAGGCGGCCTATGCTCCATTAGGAGTAACAGGCGTAAGTAAGTAAGTATCTACTTCAGTCACCTCGAAAGTCTTATCTAATAAAGTGGGTTAGTGTATAATAAAATCTTGGATAGATTAAAATAATCCTTGTTTCTGTAAATGATATCACCTGTAAATAGGAGAATGATTCTCTGAAAGATAAAGGATGAGCAAACTGAAAAACCACTCTCTCTGTATTAATTTAAAGCTTTATAATATTCCCTTTACAGCTTGACGTGTCAGTGGCCAACATTTTGTTATAAACGCTGGCAAATACTGGAAGTCGGGTAATAAGATGCTGGTTTAGTGAAACACATGGATCATTGGCATTTATGTGAATGAGATCTAAACTTTTGTTGTCTTTGAAGTTGTCACTGATTTACCATTCACTTCTCTTTAGGGCTTCGTTTTCAATTATACCTAATTATTTCTCAAATCTTCACGTTCATCCTCTACTAGTTCATGTAATTCATGCCTTTTTCACAATCTTTTATACGATTTCTGATGCTGGTGAAGGTATAATTAAGTGTAAGGTATTTCAGAGGTCACTTACTCAGGTGAATATTATTTGAATGAATTGTCTTGTAGGATGATATTGGGTATACATGTTCTTATTTGCTACTCTTCGTATGTGATTTAAGAAATCACCATTTCAGCACTAATGGATAATCACAGAATTTCATCGAAAACTCCCGATGTTAAGAAGTCTTTCTTGATCTCAAAACAACGAAAGACACCCATCACATCAACAATAAAAATAAATTAAAATTCAGGAAGCATAACAGGGAAAGTCAGAACTTAGCTTTCACATTTGGGTTCCATTGAATGAGATCAGAAAATTAATTCTTTGTTTATTCAAAAGCTGCAGGTAAATTCGCGTTCACGACACAATTGACAAAGAACTAGGAAAAAATCTGTCAATTCACATCAAAAATGCTTCTCTCCCAAGTTTACTAACATAAATTTGCAGTCTAAACAAATACTTTAAACACCTGCGATAGCCAGAAGGAAGACGTTTTCACGTGCGCGGAATTCAGAAGAGATACGGTTACAGAAATACTGAATATAGATCTCCGAAACCTTGTAGAAAACCAGTTTATTCTGCTAAGCTTCTCACTAAATGTTTCAAACGGTTTCTGATTTCAGTACATATGTTAGGAATAAACTGCCACTTTTCAAACAACAAGTGTGCAGACACATGTATACTTCCGGATGTGGAACAGTTCTCATTGAGACGAATGCTTTCTAAAAGTTTTTTTCAACAACTAGCTGTTCTGCAATCAATCACACCTTCAGTTTGGAACACTTCTTCAATACTAACCACTCTGCTCCACAATAATTATCATACAAAATCATGCAGTAATGAGCTCAGAGGTAGAACAGGACGGTTACACATTGAACAGGCTCCAGTAATTAAACTATTTTGTATTTTTTTATCCTACTGGAGTCTTAAACCGCTTCTCTAATTTCTTGTTCCTGTAAATTAGTGGTTATTATTATCCCCGTAACTTATTAAGTTTACATAAACTTCTTTATCGTTTGATGGTCGTCTAACTGGTAACTGTATATCATACTTCATATCGATAACCCGTACTGATTTTACCAATTATAACACAACTGTTCTTCACATCTGATATTTCGGAACAATTTTGTTGTAAAAGGCCGGTTATTATTTCTGATACTGATATACACGATTCCTATAAGTCACCAAGACCTGTTAGTTGAGTGGAAAGGTCAACAGTGAGTAAGAAACTGTACTACCTAAACTCAATCAAAATATGTCCACAAACCTGATTGAAAATATGGATATGCGTTCTTTGGATAATTAAGCCAAATCCTGATCAATACCATGTTATTGTAATTACTGATTTATCATTTAACCTTGAACTCAAAAACAATGTTCTGACTCTCTGTTGTTATTTGATTCTTCGCAAATATATTGTAACATGATTGAGAAGTAAAAATACAATGCCAACCAACGGTATTTATTTCGATATTTCATGCACAGAGAACTGTAAGAACAGTTATTACATTTGTGTGTTCCTTTTATTTATTTTCTGGTGACGCAATTAGCCATATAGCTCTTCTAAATAGATTTAGATCAAAAAGAAGTCCGACACTCAAACAATATAAAGATTTGAAGTCCATATTACCAATTTGAATTTGTCATATTTCGTAGATAAAACGTTTCTATTAACTAAACAGTTTAAGTATGCTAGATTCGTATACTCATCTGTTATGAAAGGTAAATGTGTTCATGCGTTTTGAAAACGTTCCCAATGGTATTTTGAATGATAATAAACCAATCATTTATATATCAGAGACTAGTTCATAGTCAGATGATACTGGGATGTACCATTACCAATATCAAATTTAATTAGACCTATAACCTGTCATGTATTTGGAACAGTTCATTTATTATAAATCACCTTCATTAACAGTAAGACAGTGATCTCACATATGGTGATCATGTATAGTTCCAACATAATTTATTATTCAACTTATTGAGTTTCTGTCACTTAATCAGTTTTTGATAGGCTGTATGTAATCAGAAATCCTGCACTTGTGCGCACATGTCAATGCAAAACCAAGTGGTGGGTTTGACATGTTAAACGAAACACCCTACAGATTAAATCAATTTATGCACTGTATCATGTTGTGTACACACACAATTGAGTTGTATACTTATTCACTAAGCTCGGTAATCACAGCTTCCTAGTCACTTTTTGTCATCTTACTTACATATGAGATTGGAATCGGTGTATAGGAATAAATGATCTTCCGAAGCTAATTCGGCGATCCAATAGCAGTCAGTCAGTCAGTCAGTAACAACGTAGAACTTCGTACGTACGTACATCAGTTCGAGTTGCCATACCAAATCAGCACAGAGATGCGGTTGTCAATTCAAATCCCTTAGTGGTAGAGGCGGTTAAAGTATAATCAGTAGTCGAAAACATTAGGGTTTGAAGATGTTATTTGGAAAGACAAGGAGGATTCAGGAGA